GGCAAGAGGGACTCCTGGGTCGCAGGGCCCACCATATTGTAAGGTTCGTGTCCAGGGCTCTATCCTTGCTGGGTCAGTCTCCTCGGAAAGCTGGTCACCTTCTGTGGATCTTAGGGGAAAGATCTTTACAGAGATCCCATGTGGCTCCCCTGTGGTTTGGACCTGAAATGTCCTCAGGAGGCCCCTATATTAAGGGGTTGGTTTCCACCTCGGAGCTCTTTGGAGGTGGGGCCTGGTGGGAGGAGCTTAGGTCTTTGGGGGTGTGGCCTTTGGAGAGGTCTGTAGGATCCTCTTTTTCTCTTCTGCTTCCTGGCCAGGAGGGAGGTCACCGTGGTTAGCAGCCCTGGTGGTTCTGTCCCATCACCCACTTCCAGCCACGATGAGCTCCTTCACCACAGCCTCAAAAGCAAGGGGGGCCAAGGGACTGAGACCTCAGCAATTGTGATTCATGGTGGACCTTTCCTCTTTATCAGTTGATGGTCTCAGGTAACTCATTACAGGGTCGGAAAGCTGGCTCATACAATATAAAAACCTTCTTCACCAAAAACAAGAATATAAATGCAGATACCTATCCAATAATGGAAAAACAAATAATGCACATAAATATTTATAAATATATGCCTATTACAAATGTATATGCATATATGAATACGTACAAATATCGCATATTGCTTTTCTGTATAACACAAACATGCATATTTGACTATGTACATCTATTGCATATTGCTTTTCTATTATTAGATATTTAAAGTCATCTCTCTTCTCATATTGGATAGATAGTCAAGGTACACTGACGTGGTAATGTTACATCAATAAATAAATCCATTATAAATGTATTATTACGTAAGAAGTGCGGCTTTTCCTGCAAAGCAATGACATACACAGATAACGAATACAGACCCACAGATGTAGACACTGATGTCTAAATCCTGCAGTTGAGCAGCATAACCTCAACTCAAGCAGGACGATTTATATATAATAGGCAAGAAAGTCAGTGACTTTGCAAGAATGTATTAATTCACTTACTGACTTAGAAATTCCTTCAGGACTTTGTAAACTCTTGCACAGTCTTGAGAAGTGAAAATATATCTGTGATCTAATCTTTTTTTTTTCCCAATTGTTTTTGCATTCTGGTACCAAGGATTGCATCCAGGGGTGTTTAACCACCGAGCCACATGCCTGGGAACCCCTTTTTATTTTTATTTTTTTTATTTTGAGACAGGGTCTTGCTAAGTTGTGAAGGCTGGCCTCCAACTTGGGATCCTCCTGCCCCAGCCTCCTGAATGGAAACTGGGCCTCCAGAGCTGACCGATAGCGTTCGTGCACAGCCACAGCCGATTAGCCTAAATCTGGACCCAGAGCAGAGACCCCGGGGCTGAATCAACCCCTAGCCTGGCGTGCTCAGGTGAGGGAAACCCGCTATGGGGTCCTCTCTTGAAATTCAAGAGCTCTGTTCCGGTGTCTTTCTTGGATAAATCCTCCTGTTGCACGCACACCACCTGGTCAGTGGTGTTCCTTCTGCAAATTCACAAGAATACAGTAAGAAGAAATGGACGCTGAGCCCCCCAACACTTCCTGGGTACAGAGACCCCACCTCCAGCAGAATCAGAGCCCAGTTTCACCTCAAAACCTTGGTTTAGCTTGGGATGGGGGCGTGTGCCTCTCATTCCAGTGGCTAGAGCCTCAGGCAGGAGGATCCCAAGTTCAAGGCCAGCCTCAGCATCTCAGTGAGACCCTGTCTCTAAGTAAAATAGAAAGGGCTGGAGATGTGGCTCTGAGGTTAAGCACGACAGGGTTCAATCCCTGGTATCAAAAGGAAAAGGGGAAAGACTTAAGATTTGCAGAACAAGATGGCGGCAGGGCCTGGAGGAGGAGAGCAGCTCAGGACAGGGCACCAGGGAGCAGAGAGAGCTCTGCTCACCAGGGACAGGACAGAGACCCCAAAGGCACAGCCCAGGGACCCCCTCCTCCAGCCACACCCCACCTGCTGCAGTCACCACCCAGTTAATCCATTCAAGTGGATTAATCCATTTATTAGGTGGAGGCTCTTTTAACGTGGTCTTTTCACCTCTGAACTTTCTTGCATTGTCTCCCACAGGAGGTTTGGGGGTCCATCTCACATCTAAACCGTAATCCCGGTTTTAAGAAAGCATACAGCCGGTGGATAATGAACCCGGCACCGTGAAAAGGTATCAGGATCTCAAGATGTTCAGGAGGTCATGGGTGATATATGGGTTCCCTGGTGCCCATAAAGGTAGAAATGATTAAGGAGAATTTTCAGAGGAAGATTGCGTTTAGAAGGAAAGGGACGGAAGATAGATATTGTTCAACCTAAGATCTAGATGGGTGTTTGGAAACCGGGGGAGGTGAGCCTGGGAGAAGGGGTGAGTCTTTTTACAAAGGTCGGATTATGTGGAGTATCGAAGGCTTGCTGGAGAGGTAGAATTTTTCCAGTTAGCCGTTGGGGAGCTAATAGCATATTTTATGTAGGTGGGAAAAGGAGGAAAAAATCAGATTTATATTTTAGGACGTTTGCTTTGGTGGTGATATGGAGAGTGAGGTGGAGGGAGGGAGGGAATGAGAACAGAGAAAATAAATATTCCTGAGACATTGAAGGATGGATGCCCTAGAGAAATGAATTCCTGAAGGAGAGAGAGAGAGAGAGAGAGAGAGAGAGAGAGAGAGAGAGAGAGAGAGAAAAGAAGAAGAAGAAGAAGAAGAAGAAGAAGAAGAAGAAGAAGAAGAAGAAGAAGAAGAAGAAAGAAGAAGAAGAAGAAGAAGAAGAAGAAGAAGAAGAAGAAGAAGAAGAAGAAGAAGAAGAAGAAGAAGAAAAGGAGGGGGAGAAAAAGAAGAAAAAGAAGGAAGAACAGGAGGTGGTGGAAGAGGTGAAGGAGGAGGAAGAGATGGAGTAGGAAAGGTGAGGGAGGTGTTGGTGGAAGAGGTGAAGGAGGTGGTGGAGTAGAAAGAGGTGGAGAGGATAGTAGAGGAGAAGGAGGAGGTGCTGGAGGAGGAGGAGGAGAAGGTGGAAGAGAAGAGGGTGTTCATGGAGGAGATGGTGGAGGAGATGGTGGAGGAGGAGAAGGAGATGAAGGAGGTGGTGGTGTTAGTGCAGGAGGTGGAGGAGGAGATGCTGGAGGTGAAGGAGGTGTTGGTGGAAGAGGTGGAGAAGGTGGAGGAGATGGTGGAG